GGAAACATGACGACCACAGAGCCGTTGTTTCTGTTAACAGACTAACCACAGGCTGAAAAACACATGCAAAGAGCAGCATTCATTAACGGTCACCTACAAACTCAGAACACCTACAGTGAGTTCAATTCTAGTCTTTAAATAAGTTCCGTAAAATGGTATCATTGAAAGAAATCATCCATTTTCTGAATCACTGATCCATCTTATGGAAGCACAAAGTCTGGAATCTATTCCAGCTGAGATACACAGCAGAAAGGTTACCAGTCCGTCACAGGACTAACAAAGAGACAGACAACTAAACACTCGTTCACACCTATAGCTGGTGTTCTGACAAACCATCCTACTTAACTTAACTGAAGCTGCAAATTTGATAATTTTGTGCAAAAAGCAGATAGCGTTTTCATTCAGGAGCTGCATCCTTCGGAGGCCACATTTGAAAGCCAATTACGTCACAGCCAGACGACGAAGGCTGTCCCAATTCTAAGACTGCTCCAAACGTGGGCCGACAAATGCGTCCTTCATTTCCCCTGATTTGAAAGATGGGTCCGGTGTATTCTTCGTGGCCTACCATATCTCAGAAATCATAGCGCGGTAACTGGTGAGACAACTGGTGACGCAAATCTGAAGGCTACACCGTCCCACTTCACAGCCTCGCATTTCTGGCCTTCTCGGTCTTTGGAGGACCTTGCCCACGTCGACCATGAAGGCTGGGTTCTTCGAGGAATGCGGCCAATGAATTGAGATACAGCTCGGGTACTCCGGCTTCCTCCCACAGTCCAGAGGCATGCAGTTACTGGATGAGACAGGGGGGAACAAAGCTGCACGCACTCACCTAAGACAAAGACTTTCACAATAAACAGGAAACACTACTCAAAGACACGGACTCGACAGAGGGGCGGACAGAAGATACATGAAACTCAAATAATAATCGTCAATTAAACCGAAATATAATAAACTCAAAATACTGGGTCCACACTGACACAGAACCGTGACACAATCATTAACACACGTGAATGTGGACATATTATGCACGGAATATGTAAGGGCTTTTTATTGTGTTTAACACATGAGTTTAGGCTCAGTGAGTTCACAATGAGTTCATGTAACCAGTTTTCTCTTTTCTTTCAATATCAACATGAACGCTCGACACAGCATATTAAACACTACCTCTGCTTCCTCTGATTGGCTGTTGCCGATGATTTGAGATTTTCTCTCACTGTATGTGATGTCATTATCTCCAACTTCTCCCCCATCAGCTGAAATCAGTCAGAATGAACAGCGAAATAATTTACTCTTTCATACTCTGAGAAAAATATTAGTGAATATCACATCAAAATAATTTACCATGAAATAGAAAGTCTGAGTCTCACCATCAAGTTTCCTGTGAACACATGGTCTCCCTAACAGAACCAGTAACACCAGTAAGAACCCACAGAT